TCAAAGTGAAACTCAGAAAAGTTAATGTGATTTGTCCAGGGTCACAAAGCCAGTTAAGCTGAGATTTGAATCCTTACTCAAAAACCTGCAGTCTTTTTTTTTTTTTTAACTTTACCAAGCTGTTTAAAGAAGATTTCATTTGAGCCACTTAGAGAGTGTAATTAGTGGAATAATTTGTAAAAATTGTAATAATCTGGAAAAAGGGACTATAACCAGTTGTTGAAGGGGACCATGACCAGTTGTTGTTTCTTCACTGGAAATCCTTAAACCATTTTTAATATGCTGGCTTAGTTGTGATGCTCCCTGTGTGTTGGGAACTAGAACAAGTGATTTGTCCCTCCATTCCCTGTCGCTGTGACCACAGTAGCACCTCTGTGGCCAAATCATTAATGTGAACAGCTGGTAAATGACACTTTCTGGTTTGTCTTAAAGCCGGATACCAACATTCAGTGTTCAGTTAGCAGTGAAGATATCGAAAAAAGCTTCAAAACAAACCCTTGTGGCTCCATTTCTTTTACTACTTCCAAATTCAGCTACAAGATAGACTTTGCAGGTATGTTTTTTTCCCTAATAGTTGTGTGTTTTAGTATATTGATATGATAAAATCTATAGCTCTGAAGATCAGGATTAGTTGATACATTTGCAAACAGTGAAGTAAATCCTCTTTGTTATACACAAAAATACCTCTATAAAATTCAGGATTTAAAATCATCTTGAGCAACATTGCCTTTTATAAAGGCATGTTTATATAGATTAACGTATGTGAAGATTGTCATATATTTTGAGTTCATGTAATGCTTGTCTTCTAAAGAACACAAAACACTCTTTAGCAATTGTATTCATCCCATCAGTCTTTTGAAACAGGTAGGAACCTTTTTATTTTAAGGATGAAACTGAGATGGTTAAGAGAGAAAGTTATAGGTAGCCAGTGACAGTTTCAAGACCAAAGTTTAGCTGAATGACCTTTCTCTTAGTGCCTTTGTCAGAAAACTTTCTTTAATGGACATTGCCTCTGCCATTTTCTGATTTCATTGACTCTTTCACAGATTGGTCATCTATTAATAATTTGGAAATCAGCCCCACTTTGGATTTCATCTGTGATGTAGGGACATGTTTTTAGGTATCCCATGAACAACGTGTTGGATTCATCCCCTCAAGTTTCAAGGTGCAGTTTATTGTAGTTTATTGCTTAGAGGCAAATAAGACCTGGGTGGGAAGCTTTCTTAATAAAAGTACATTTGGTTGCCACACAGCTTAGTCCTTTAGCTGTTCTTTCCCGATTTCTGTGAGTAATGTCTTTATGACAGTGTTAGTAGTGGGTTGTGGTTGGGTAAGGTGGTGAAACCTTAGGAAACTCCCTTGGACAAACCAAGACCCAGAAGTGGTAAAGGGGGTTTGTCCAGTAAGGGGTTGATGCAACAAAATATGTAATGTTTATTGTCTCACCAAAGTTGTTTTTCTGCCCCTTTTTTATTATCGAGAATTAAAACCACTAGATTCTTACTCCTGACTAACCATACCTGTTTTTAAAATGGTATTAGGCAAATAAGCTACCTTTAATGTCCTGACATTTATCCTTCTGCTACAGTCTAGGCAGTAGGTGTCCAATAGATACTTTTAGTCTTCTGTACAGGTGCTAATTTTGAAGCAGTACTGAAACAGAACCGGACATCAGGCTTCACACAGAGCGGTGGTCCCCAACCCCCTTTTTAGCATCAGGAACCAGTTTCATGGAAGACAATTTTTCCACAGACTGGGGGATGGTTTGAGGATGGTTCAAGTATATTACATTTATTGTACAGTCAAACCTCTCTCCTAATGATTATCTATATTTGCAGCTGCTCCCCAGTGCTAGCATCACCACTTCAGATCATCAGGCATTAGATTCTCACAAGGAGCGCACAACCTAGATCCCTCGCATGTGCAGTTTACAGTAGAGTTTGCGCTCCTGTGAAACTCTAATGCTGCTGCTGATCTGACAGGAGGGGGAGCTTATGCAGTGATATGAGCGATGGGGAGCGGCTGTAAATACAGATGAAGCTTCACTTGCTTGCCTGCTGCTCACCTCCTGCTGTGCGGCGCAGTTCCTAACAGGCCACGGACTAATACCGGTCTGCAACCTAGGGGTTGGGGACCACACACGTAGAGGATGAAGTTTTTTAATGCGCTTGGTAGATAATCAGCAAGCCACATGTTTCTGAAAGAATACTTTTTAGTACACTATACTTTTTGGAAGCTTCCTGTCAGAAAATGCAGTTTGTTAGAAAATATCTTTATCAAAGAATAGGAGTCACATATACTAGTAATTCATGTTTCCCAACCCTCTGTATGATGATCTTGTTTCAAAGGTATAGTAGTAGCATTTCACATGAACAATTTGCAAAGTTATTAGCCCCAGCCATTCTGCCACTAGGCAACTCAGGTTCTCTCCATAAAGGTAAACTCCAAATGACATGGTTCAAGAAAATGGCATCTCAGGTCTTGCCATGTGTTGAGATGATCTGCTTTTTCCCTGAACAGTGGCAATGCCAGTGTGTGTAGAATCTAGGAGAATACAGAAAGGGCAGAACACACTTTATACTAACATTGGCCTGTGTGGGTGAACCATTTCATTCTGGAGTGGATTGATGTCAGTTAGACAAGGTAAACTGGCTAATATCCTACGTTAAGACTCACTTCTTAACTTTTTGGAAATGAAGAAGTAGGCCTGGTAAATATTGCCATGGCTGAGGCACAGATGAAAGAAGGAAATGATACATACCTTTAGTTAATTGGTCTTTTATCACTAG